GGGGCCTCGCCGTAGTTCCCGCGCCGCCGCGCTGGCCGTTGGAGCCGCGCTCGCCCAGCTCCCAGGTCTCCCCGCGCGGCACCAGCGCGCTTGCGCCAGCCGCGGGAGGCGGAGCAGGATAATGGGCGGGGCCCGGTAATGGGCGGGTCGTGGGCGGGGCCCCGAGGAGGCCGGGCAGGGCGCGTCCAGGGTAGCGCTTACCATGGCAGCAGAAAGCTGGGAATATATTCGAAAATAATCCCTTTTTAGTGGAGAATGTCTTAAAGAGCACACAGACCCTGAATTTTTCGTTCTAGCACCATGGCAAGCGCCTGTGCATGCACGGCTGGCGGGACAGCAGTCTGTGCACCCCCAGCCCCTGTGGTGACAGGGGTCCTGAGGACTACAGTGGGGTACCCACATGCGGCAGGTGCTGTCAGCAAAAGCAGGCTAAGGTGGGGTCCCAGATGGAATAGGGTCTGAGAAGACCGCGCAACCAGAAGAAGTGGAGGAGTGGGGGCTGAGCAGTGGGTGGAGGGCGCGCTTGGGAGAAGGCCTTCGGCCCCAGACAGTCGAGGCAAGAGCCCTGCGCTTCTGCCTCGCGAGGCGGAAGCCCCTGGAAGGTCCACAGCAGACGGACAGGTCCTGAACTGGACTCACTGGGGGTGTGGAAAAACCACCTAGGTCCCGGCACCTGCAGGTGAGAGGCCACACTGTGCAGGTGTGAGAGCACTTACACGAGTGTGCCCCTGCTAAAGAATGGCGGGGGCATCCCAGCCGCCTCCCACAGACTGGATTTCGATGTCCCATAAGGAGACACCAGCTCGTGCCGCCCTAGGGTGGGTAGAACAGAGATGCAGTGCCCAGCAAAGGAGGGAGAACGCCCCTAGCAGGTCCAAAGCCCGAGATCTGCCCTGCAGGACGCCGGGCAGGCTGCAGCCCTGTCACCTGAAATGTCCAGCACCAGACACCCAACTGGCAGCAGAAGGCCAGTAGTGGCAGGAAAGCGAGGGTGTGGGCCATGGAAACAGGCTCAGGGTGATGCGCTATCACAGCCATCGTTTGAAAATAAGAGTATTCAGGAGAGTCTAGGAACAGAGAAGGAAACCTGCAGAGAAGACGCCCTGGAAGAAGCAGCACCGACCTTGCTGGACGCATTCCACGTACCCAGGCGGACCGCTCCACACCTGTTCTGAGGCCGGCGTGACCTTGCAGCCAAGCCTGCGTGGACTTTGATGACCCGGCGACACACGGGCTAGTCTGTCGGGAACGTACTTTAAATTTCCGAAATAGGTCCTCCCTGATGGCGCAGCGAATGAGGACACAGCACTGCAGGCTGGGGCTGGCTGCCGCCTCCGTGAAGGACCCCCCTCCCAGAGGTGACCCACAGGGCGCAGCAGACCTCTCCTGACTGTCCGCTGTTCTCCTCAGTAGTGTGCTCGTCCATCTGCCTGTTCTGCTCCTCACTCTGTCTCTGGTGAAGCCTCTCACCCCCTGCACCTCTGGCCTGCCTCCCCTTCTGTATGCATAAATAAATAAATCTTTAAAATAAATTCCAATATAACTATCAAATCAAATGCAATGACATTAAAAACACATCGCAACCACACTAGGTTTATTCCAGGAAGGAAAGTTGATTTAACTCCCAAATCCACCACATCAACACGATGGAGTATCAAGTCTCGAAACCTCAACAGGTGGGGCAGCACCATCCCATAAAGCAGATGAGCACAATGGAATGCTGGGCGAGCAGATGCCCAAGCGGGAGGCAGGGCGCGGCCCCCATGGCCGGCACGAGCTGCACGCTGGCCCCAAGTCCGCGGCGGTCACTCCTCCAAGGGCTCAGCACTCAGGAGGGGCTGCACCGGCTTGGGCTCCTGCTGGGAAGGAGCAGGTACCCTGGGGCCCCCTCTGTGGGTGCATTCCTGCGACGGGCCGCCATGCCAAGGCGTCTCCCTCAACCCAGACAGTGAGGGCGGGCCCAAAACCTTATAGGGAACCCCGCCCTGACGAGGGGCGGTCACCCAGGGGGGATCGTGCCAAGCAAGCAGCGACCTGCAGGGGGCGCGCTCGCGCCCTCTCGCCCGACGTCCTTGCCCAAGTGTCTCCCTGGCTCCCTAGAGCGAGCCTTGGCGCTGCCGAGCAACTGCTCCACCAATCAGGCGCGAGCACCGCTGGCTCTCCTCCAATGAGCTCGTCTGGGGCGGCCCCGCCCCTCCTGCGCTGCCTATATAGGGGCTGCCACCAGCCACGTTGGTGTCCACCCCACACCGCGGCCGCCCACCTGCCACAGCTGCTGGCCATGTCGGAGCTGTTGTATGAAATAGCAGAAGGCAAAAACTTGAACGCTTTCTCCTGTGGTCAGGACAGGAGGAAGCGGGGGCCCAGCTCAAAGAAGGCAGGAAAGAAATGAAAGGATAGGGTGAGGAAAGGTCTCGTCGGTGTGAATGCAGACAGCGAGTCTTGTCGGCTTCTCGCCCCTCCAAAGAGGGCCCCCAGACTCTGGGCCCTTGAGGCTGGCAAGGAACCAAGCAGGTGCATCAGCCCCACCTAGAGCCGGGTGGACCATAGGGGCAGGTTCGCCCTCCCGCCTGCCGCAGGGATGGCCACCTGGCTCAGCAGGGAGCTGCAGGGTCAGGGAGCCTCTGCACCCGCTGAGCCGAGGGTGGAGCCCGGGACGGAGCAGACTTCAGCCCGCCTGTGGAGCCCCATCCAGAGATCAAGCTTCATCCAAAAATTCCTACTTGTGGGGCAGCTTTCGCTTCCCTACAGCAGCAAGCCCGGACCAAAGTTCCAACGGGGCGGGATTCTGGGGTGCGTTGTTCCTGCCTTCAGTGGCTAGCTTTGTCCTGGCGGCCTTCCTGTTCCTGCAGGCCGGACCCCCACCCTCCAGACGATGTTACCCCTAATTCCCTGGAAAATCCCCATCGGTTGCACTTGGGGCTTCAAGCTTAAGAACTGCAGGAGCAGGCCCTCCCTGGTGGCGCAGGGGTTACAGCGCAGAACTGTGAGGCTGGGGTTCCATCCCCGGCCAGGGAATGACCATAGGACAGACCTCTCCTGTCCTCTGCTGCTCCCTCAGCAGTGGGTTTCAGTGGATACGCCTGTGCTGCTGCCAGCTCTGTCTCTGGGGAGTGCTCTCACCCCTGCACCTCTGGCCTACACCCAGTTCTGTGTGCATAAATAAATAAATCTTTGAAAAGAAACCAAAACAAAGGACTCTGGCAGGGTCATAGTTTGTCCATCCAAACCTCTGGAGGGGGGGAGGGGCAGGCGGGGTTCGTGCAGACTGACAAGGCCACTATGCAAACTCACCACGGGATAGTCACCTCAACAGGCAGTAAACAAAAGTTAGTGCTGTACCCCGAAAGCATCAGCACTGAGGATACACCCCTGGACCTGCAGATACCCACTGGGAAAGGATGGGTCGGGCAGGCGTCCCTGCACCTGTGGGGGGTAGGGCCCGGGCCCAGGCACCGGGCGCCGGGTAGGGGCGTTGAGCGCCCTGGGTGGCCCTGGGCGTGGCTCGTGGCCTGGGCTGGCCGTGGGGGCCTGCGGAGGCTCCGCCTGCACGCCGGAGGCTTGGTCAGTGTGATGTGCCACCTTTGGGGACCGTCACCTGGCCACACGTCATGTCTGTCAGTTTCACAGGAGCTGCTGGTGGCCTGGCTGCCTCAGTTGCTTACCAGGTCCTTGTGTTTCCTCCTCAGGTGTTACCCGAACCCAGTGGCCTCTGGGGGAGCAGCGGCAGCAGGCTGGGTTCCCCCTGAGGCTCCACAAGTCATTTGTGGCAGTTGTGCCCCAGAGCCCTTTATGTAACTGTGTGCTTCCGGGATCATGTAGTGGACCAATCAGGGGGGAGCTATGAGCTGATTGGGGCTAAAGGGTCCAATCAGCCACAGGATTGAAAAATGGGCCAGTCAGGCTTGTGGGCGGGGCTCCTGAGAGGGGATATAAGCCAGGTGGCGGCTCAGCCTGCAGGAGGGGATTGCAGCCTTAGAAGGAAGCGTGCTCCTGCTCTGAAGAAGGGAGAAAAGCAGTGTCCAATGGCCGCCCTCTGAAGGGAGGAGCCGCAGACCAGGCTAGGGCCAGGGTCTGGGCCTCATTCTGTCTGTCCACCCCCTGAAGGGAGCTCAAGGCCCCCACTGGCATCTCACAGAGATGCTGTTGCTGGTGTCACCAACAACTCTCAGAGCTGTGGACACTGAGTGTCCTGACATTGCCTCTGGGGCCAGTGGGGACCCTCACACGGGTCAGTGCTGTCCATTGGTCACCAGTGGTGACTGTCACTGATGCCGTCTGGGTGAGGCGGCCACCAAGTGTGGCTGCTCTGGGCTCTTTGTGTCCCCTATATTTGTAGGATAAACCCCAGTGGGGCAGTTACGCGGGTGAGACCCCCAGAGGGGCCTGTCCACGCCGGGCCCTGCCCCGCGGTCAGCCCAGCCACAGGCCCCTCTGGGTGCTGTGCTGCCCCAGCCCCTGGCTCGGTTTGTGGCCTTAGGGGGCTTTTTGGCAGTCGGACAGGTGGGCGGCTGCTTCGTCCTCCCCTCCGGCCTCCTGCCCTGACTGCCTCTAATTTTGTTTCCAAAGAACTTGGTCTTTAACGGGGGTGTAGCTTGTGAACGTGCTGTAACATGCTCTGGGGGTGCCAGACAGAAGAGGGGCCCTGTGGACCTGATGTCTGCAAAACAGCTCAGTAGCGTCTGCGCATGTGGGCAGTATTGCCTTTCACCCCCGCGGGGCTGTGGTCACCCCTGCCTGTCTGCACCATGTCCCCTAGGAGCCTGGGGTGACGGCCTGTGCCCTGTGGCAGTGGTCACAGACTGGGCTCAGCCCTGCCTCCTGCACCCCACTCTAGAGGGATTCCCTGCCCCCTGTGCGCTACCCTGATGCCTCTGCTGGCCCAGGTTTCCCCACACTAAGGCCGTGGCTGCCTGCCCTGCTGCTGGGCTGGGCCTGAGCCCGCACTGTCCTCCCTTCCTCTCAGACCCAGCCTTGGCCAGGGTTTGGCGGCAGTGACCCTGACAGCTGGAGTGCCCCTGGGGCGGTGGGGTCCTACTCAGGTGTGCCCGGGACATGCTGCCCCTGGTGGCCACAGGGGTGCACAGCCTTGGCCACCCCTCAGGCACCGTCCCCTGCAAGGTCCCTGGGGCAGCCATGACAGTGCCTGGGCCAGGCCGGTGCTAGGACAGCTGCTGCCAGGCTGAGCCGGGCCCAGAGCGGGCCCTGCTGGCCAGCAAGGTGGCGCCTGCGGCCCCTCCCCACCACTCCAGATGCATCCGGCCACCCAGCAGCAGGCAGTGCAGGTCTGTGGCGTGTCCCTAGAGCGGGAGCGGGCAGTGACCCCTTGGGTCCCTTCCTCTCCCCAGCGGCCTGGGGGCAGGGCTGTGGGCCTCCATGGGCAGCCCCTCCTGCCCGGACCCCGGCTCACAGCTGTGTGTGCACAGGAGGGGCGGATGTGGCCCCTGGGAGTCACTCCCCACTCTGTGACTGTGCTGACCTGGGAGGTTCCCACCAGCAGCAGGACCAGATGCCCTGGGGAGGTGGCCCAGTCGTCTGGTCATTGGGGAGGAGGGTGGGCAAGCACTGGTCCCAGGCACCCACAACCCCTCCCCTGCCAGCCCTGGGCAGCCTCCTTGGTGTCCCTCGGGCTGGCCGAGTCCTGACCACTCAGTAGCACTCTACCAGGGGAAAAGCCAAGGGTCCCCTCGGACCCCAAATGTCTGTCCCCAGAACCCTGGCCCATCGCCTTTCCTCCCTGGACACTGTTCCGGCGAGAAGCCCCCTCGCTGGGCCTTCCAGGACATGTGGCAGGACGCTCGGGGAGGCAGAGCCTCTCACCTGGAGGGTGTCTGTGCTTTTATTTCCTAACGACGAGCATATCTTGAACGTGCACCTCACGGTGAACAAAAATCTGGCAGAAAGGAGCATGCGGCTTCGTGCAGCTGGGCGAGGTGCACGCGCTGAGCAGGCTTCCCGGGCTGCCACGCCCGGAGTGCGAGAGAAGCACTGGGGTACAGGGTCAGCTCCCCCCGCCACCCGCTGAGGGAGGTGTCTCGGGCTCTAGAGAAGGGGAGTGGGGACCCCCAGGCAGTGGCAGGGAGCTGCCCCCGTGGGGTCAAGGGTCTCGGGGGGCTTTCCCCTCGGCCACCAGGAAGCCCTGGGTGGTCTCTGCCCGCCTCAGTGAGGGCCGGAGGCCAAGGGGCTGCTGTGTGTCAACCCGGGCGAGGGGGAGGAATAAGCGTGGTCCAGGCTCCTGAGCAGGCTCACCCGCCCTGGGCTCCCCAGCACATCCAGCGTAGCACAGGGCTCCATGGCAGTGGGCCCCTGCGGACCTGCTCAGCCCAGGGCACCCCTTGAGGCTGAGCTCCCTCAGGTCCCGCAGCCCAGGCATGCATCTCAGCAGGGCTCCTCGTGCAGGGTTCTCTGCAAGGCCCGTGTGCCCTGCGGGGCCCCCGGGGGGGCCACAATCGTGGGGAGCGTGCAGCTGTCCGTGGGCAGCCGCGGCTCCTCCACGTCCTTGGAAGCCGTAAGCTGGGTAGTCTTAGTCCGGCCGTGCCTGGGGCTCCAGCGGAGGCGTCTGGCGTTCTGCCGCAGCCAGGAGTCCATGGCCAGGGAGAAGAAGATGGGGTCGGCCACGCTGTTGACCGTGCACAGGCACAGGAAGACCATGTAGGGCGTGTAGAACTCACACTCCCGCTGGCACAGGGCCGTCACGTTATCTTGGTAGTAGGAGAAGGTGATGGCCCTGGCCAGCAGCACCAGGTGGTAGGGCGTGAAGCAGATCAGGAAGATGGTCACCACTGCCACGAGCAGGCGCTTTATCCGGGCCTTCTGGGCACTGCTCAAGCTTATGCTCTGCCTGATTCTCCTGAAGACCTGCAGGTTGGTGAAGGTGATGATGGACAGCGGCAGCGCAAAGCCCAAGGTGAAGCGTGAGTAGTAGTAGCCAGCGGTCCTTTGGTTGACCGGCACCGACTCAAAGCAGGTGTTGTTGGTTTTGTCCCGGAACACTGGCAGGAAAATGGTGCCAACCAGCACGAAGACCGTGGCAGAGACGAAGATGGCCACCTTCTGGTGGCAGTGTGCCCGGCTCTGCAGCGGGTACACCACGGCCATGAAGCGGTCACAGGAGATGCAGCACAGGAAGAGGATGCTGACGTAGATGTTGCAGAAGAAGACGTAGGCAGCCACCCTGCAGCCCCAGTCGCCCAGGGCCCAGTGGTGGTTGTTCCAGATGTACATGACCCAGAGCGGCAGGGTGCTGGCGTACAAGAGCTCGCACAGAGCCAGGCAGAACATGTAGATGGCCAGCACGTTGCCCTTGCGCACCTGCAGCAGCGTCAGCCACAGAGTGAGGAAGTTGGCCGGCAGCGCCAGCACGGACACGGAGCTGTACATGGTCACCAGGAACAGCCTGCTGTTGTTGTAGGGCATGAAGCACCATTCCCCGCACTCATTGGCGAGCCCTGCGGGACAGATGAGAGTGAAGAGGAGAACGAGGTCCTGGAACCACCTGGGCTGGGAGAGCCTTGACGGTGCTAAGAAGGGAGAAGACGTACAACTGCAGCCAGGACGCGCCCACCACTGGGTTTCTGCGAGTGACTCCGAGCGGTCACTGCCCTCTACCCAGTCGGTGGGTGGGTGGACACAGAGCTCTGACCAGAGTCCTCATGACGCACCGGGGTCTATTCTCAAACACACCCCTATGCTGGAAGTGCTCCCTGCTGGCAGAGCAAGGGCTCTCTTGTGCTCCTCAAGCAGCTCATGGCCGGCCCCCGCCCCCATCCTGCATGGTACAGCCACAGCCTGACTGCCCGCCAGCAGTTATGAAGAAAACTACCCCCACGTACTAGTGGACTGTCCACATCTTGTGCCGCTCTCTCAAAGTTTGCTTTATATATCTACAGCTACTGTTAATTGGTGCTTATGAGTTTAAAACAGTTGTGTGAAATGACCTTGTCTCATAATGTCTGTGGCACACACCAGAGCCCCCGCCCCAGGGCTCCATGCCCTACCCCAGATGCGGGCAACACAGGTCACAGGTAAAGGGAGTTAAGGCCCCAGGAGAACCGTCTGGCTTAGTTGTCGATAACGAGCTGACGGCAGGACGACAGGGAGGAGGCCATGGCACGTCCAGGCTGACTCCGAAATGATGAGTTCTGATGAGTGCAAGAGGGAAGGTGAAAGGGACAGGGGTGTGGACTCATGGGGGGTCAAACACCCCCCCGCTTGCCAGGCTCCGGGGTGGGAGGGGGCCAGACTGGTCGGGCGGCCTATCGTCTGTGTTCCCCGGCCTGAGTTCGTGGGACCGTCTGTGTCTGCAGTCGCCCTCGGGTTTGCTTTCTGTTTTCCCTGACCCATCCACTGAGTGCTCCTTCAGGCCGGTCAGCATCTCCCGCACAAAGGACACTGTGATCGTCCACACTCGACGTCCGGGCAGCGCTGGAGGAGGGCTCCACCAGGCTGAGGGTCTGCCCCGTCGCACAGCGCCCCCCGCTGCCAGGAAGGGGCAGGTGAGCTCAGGGCGGGAGACGCGAGGGTCCCCGGGCCACGGGGGCCTCCCGGGCCGGAGCCTCGCGGTCCCGTCGGCCTGGGCGTGGCCTTTCGAGTGTGCCAGGAGCTAGGAGCCCCGGGCTGGTGTTTCTGGCTCCGTTTTATTTTGAGAATTCTCCTTTCAGACACCCAGTTTTGAAGTGATGGTGAGACTGAGCTCCCGGGGCAAAGCGCCCGGCCCCCCCAGGCTGCTGGCCCCCCCTACCTCCCATGTTGTGTCTGTGTCGCGGAGCCACAGGAGTCTCCCAGCACGCGACTGCAGGGTCCAGGGTCCAGGTGACCTGCAGGAAGAGCGAGATGACCTGGGCCGGCAGGCCTGGGCACTGGGGCGCGGGCGGGGGCGCGGGCTCCCCCAGGCTGCATGACCTGGCGCCGGTGGCAGAAACCCCCCGGAAGGGGACATTCGCCGGTCGAGATCCAGAAGCGCTCCGCTCCCCCTCTGCCGCGCCCAGGTGCCGGGGTGCTGGCGCGAGCCCCCCGTGAAGCAGCCACCCTCGGCTGGGCCGCGTGTGCCTGCCGCCCGCTCCGACGGGGCGGGACCCAGAGCGAGGCGCGCCTCACAGGGCACCAGCCGGGCACGGGCGTCCTGGCCCGCTCCGGCCCTTCCGCAGCTCCCCGCAGCACGCCCCGCCTGGCCGTTGCGGGCCGGGCAGGGCTCTGTGCCCTCAGAGCGCCTGGGCGGTGCCTGAGACCGCCCCCGCCGGCAGGGAGCCCGGGGCTGCCGACCCCTGGGACACAGTGCCAGCGTGCCAGCCCCCTTCCCAAGCGCCCCCGCCCCTGAGGAAGGGCTTCAGGTGACGGCCACCCCCTGCCCTGCCGCAGGCACCGTCCATCCCAGGCCGGCCCCGGCGGGTGGGGCAGCCGGCCCCTGGGGTGGGGAGGTCCCTGCCGGCCAGCCAGGAGGAAGCTGCCTGGGCCCTGACCCTGAGCTGGACGGGCCTGGCGTGAGATCCAGACCCTAACCCTGCATGGGGAGGAGGCCTCACGTCCAGGCCCCGGGGTGCAGGCTGCGGGGGTGCCCCTCCTGGAGTGTGGGGGGCACCACAGCCCGCGTCCAGCATCACTTTGGCTTTTGGAAAGATGGGGGGTGCCCCTCCTGGGGGACAGCCTGCTCGCCCAGACCAAAGCGCAGAGTGGCACCGGCTGGTGTCTGGGAGGAACTTCTGCAAAAGCAGAGGAAGCAGAGCAGGCTAACGGCTGCGTGAGCTCAGGCGCCCCGCGGGTGGGTGCCAGCGGCTGGCCGGCCCCCCACCCCGCGCCAGGGGTCTGGCAGGACAGAGTGGGAGGCGGGCTGGGGCCCCGAGGAGCTGTCGCCACACCGGCCCAGGAGGGCAGGTCGTGGCCCACCAGGACGACCCGGCC